ATTTCTATTTAAAATGGTCACTATGAAAACAAAGTGCCTAATACGAGTAGAAACTGAGAGTTAAAAACCCTAGAAGGTACTGTAACACAGCCAGTCTCATTTGCAAATTTTACTTATTGTGATGGTATTGAGAATTTAGACAGTTGTATCAGAAGCAGAAAATACTGTAGCTTTTACTGATGATGAGGAAGGGCCAAAGGAAATTATTACTACAGATGCTGCAGAATCCAGTCTTTCATTTCTGTTGATGTTTCTAACCTTAAGCAAACAATAAATGTATTGTATCCTGCATGCCAAACTGAAGGCTTAGTAAAAGAATTTATTCTCGGTAAACATGGCAGAATTAAGGCTGAATTGAAAATGTAAGCAGGATTAGTGGCATTGAAATTCAGGGAATTTAATTATTTTCCAATCTCCCTGAGGAACATGTTTTCAAATATCAGAAACAGCAGTAAGAGACTAAGGAAGGACTTAAGTGCTTCAAGCTTAAATTAAAATTAGGGTTGTTCTCTCCAGTGGGACAACTAAGTCAAAAAAGGTTTTTAATTATATAGTATACTACCTTAAAACACTGCTGACCAGCAATCCACATGGTACTGCTGTCAAAAATTTAAGTTACTTTAATTTAATGACTCCTATATGCCAACTTTATTGCTTGCTCTATTATGCTGACAGGCTTCATGTGCAGATGTGAACCAGCTCCATACATCCATTTAGCTAGTGATAATTAGTGGAATTATCAGCATTAAAGCATTTTTTCACTATTGTCAAAATCACCTGCAGTAACAGAGCTTGTTTTGCTGACAGGAAATACCAAGCCAAGACTGGAAGCATTTGCTTCTGTACATACACCATTTCTTTAACTTCTACTTTCTCCATCTAGTTTGCACTGCTCTCCTTTAAGTTGTAATAAGATCTTCACTTTCTCCTTGGGTAGCCACCAAGCATGAACAACAGTTCTCAGGTTTTTTTTTACCTGATATTCCTGTTTGCCCCCAACTGGAGGCATAGAGGAGGTTGGGCTAATTTATTATGGTAGAAGGAATCATCAGAGTGTAACCCTTCTTCTTCCCGGTGTCTGCACTTTGTGTCTGGGAGCCCTCCAGAGACTCCTGAAATACCACGGGAAGCTGCGTGGAAAGCCAAAGTCTTACATGTGCTTAATACATCATGCATGGGACCTAATATGACAGTTCTTGTTAGCTGTAAATCTAACCCATGGATGCTTCAGTTCTGACTTAAAAGAACTGTTTATCCAGACTATTTCCTGCTCTCTAATTCTCTTCCTTTCTGTGGCCCAAATTTTTATTGGGCTCTGTAGCACTTCAGTAAGTTTCAAAAACTTCACTGTATTTTTGGATTGTGCTTCCAGAGGAAGTTCAGTGGTCACTTTGGAAAACATAGTTTTCAGTTTCAGCATTGATGCTCAGCTAGATGAGACTTTTGGATCTGTATTTCATCCCTAGAGTGATCTATATGATGGAGGAAAAAAAAGGATAAATGATAATACTACAAGAACTCAAGTATTTCCCCAAACACTGTTTTTTTCCCACCACAGGTAAGCAGTTTATGCATTGCCTCTTAAGTCTTCGAGACAGTTACAGATCAGGAAACTTTAATTATAGTTAAGAATTACTCTGTTCAAGTTCTTGTCCTTATTCTATTGTTTCTATGTACAATACTGCAGTGACATACTGGTGACTCCTCAGAAAAAAATGCATACTTTTCCATGAGCTGCATATACTTAGAGCACCATCTTCCTCTCTATCGTCTGTCAACACAGTGTTCATGCCAAAAAAAAAAAAAAAAAAAAAAAAAAGAAAAAAAAATGTTTTTTCCAGCAAACCAGAAACCCCAGTAACCAGAGTCCACTGTCTCATCCTGCCTTTCTGACCACAAAAAGTGGCTTTTCTGGAGAACATGACCTCTGACACAGTGAGAAGAAATGCTTCGCTGGTGAGCAAATGTCTCTGCTGAGATGCCACTCCACAGCTTCTCAGTGTGGACAAGATGAGCATGTTTTGGAAGTTCACAAGGAGAAGATTCTGTGCCCAGAAAGAATAACCTCGGTCCTGGCTTCGCAGTGTTGCAGGAGGGAAGTTTTAGGGCTGGGGAAGTTGTCGTGGCTGTCTTTCCCAGCAGCTGTCTTCCCCAGTAGAAAGTCAGAGGAAGCCCAGTCCTGCTGCATGTGTGTGTGTGCATGTGTGTACAACACCTACTTCCACTGGTTTGTATCACACTAAAAATATTTTCCTCCCATTCCTTTTGTCTGCAGTGGCTCCTGCTGACTGTCTCTTCTGTCCTCTCTTCACCGTTATCAGCCCTGGCACATGCTGCTTTTCTTTTCTGGTTGGTTCAGATATGGCTCTACTCTTTTAGCGGTTCTCTTCCCCAGCTTCCTTTCTGGATGGAAACAGATGAGGCTATAAAATTCTCCTCTCTGTGAGCAGAAAAGATATTAAATTAAAGAGTTTGTGATCAGACTCACTTATCAATTATGTCAGAGTTAACTTTTAGAGATATTTGTGTTACATGAATGTGATAACAGTCTTGTGGTGAGCTAATGAAAACAATGAAGAGGAAGTAGTGTTTTATAGCTATTAAATTGGTCAGAGTCCTTGGTGGCACTGAAGCAGTAGCAATGTGAGTTTCTAGTGATTAAGAAAACCTAATCTGGCTGCCACTCCCTTAGCTGAAATGTCCAAAGTGGAACATTTCACTGGCACTTCTCCACTCCCCAAGAAGCTATTCATAATTATTTTGAGAGAAAAGTATTTTGTTTTTTCTACTATAAAAAACATCTTGGGCAGGTATGGAAGTCGGTATGCAAGTGTTTATCCTTGATTTTTTCAATGTGTCTGGATCTGAGATGCCTGTATATCAAGATGTTTAAGCCTCACTGTAGCATCTTAAACCGTGCTGTTGCTATCTTTAGTTGCCCTGTGTTGCCTTTTCCTTGTAACAGTACTCATGACTAAAGCTTAAACCCAGACATACGTCAGCCTCTCCGTGTGGCAGTTCCTTACCTTTCCCATTCCCCTAGGAACTTCTGGATCTCTTGTCCCAAAACCTCTGTGTAGCTCTGTGTTCCCAAAGCCGGGGCTGGTGAGGGTAATGCTGGGCCCCTCCTTGCACCCGCACTGGGGTAGCGAAGGTGGCTGGGCTCCCTCCTGCGTGCGTGCAGATGTTGGAGGGATTTGCTCATTCATCATTGAGGACATGAACCTGGAAAGGTGCTGGATGTCCTGAACTCATTTTGAGTCAATGGGAGTTCATGGCACTCAGTTTCTTGAAAAATTAGACTTTCTGGAAGTCAGGGCACACAAAATGTTTGTGCTTGTACCTCACAAAGCCACAAAGCTCTTCAGAAAAGGGCATGGAGCATGCTATAAATGAAGTATTCAGAAGGGAAAACAAAAATTTCCTGACTTATTCTTGACACAAAATATTTAATCATGACATTTGGTCTAAGAAAACATACAAACTCTCAATGATGCCAGTTTATTTTACCCACAAACCAACAACATACTGATGATGTGCACACAAAGGTTATTTATTTTGAGTGCAGCCAGGGAATGTGAGTATTCCAAATGCTTCCTTATATCTCCCCATGGGATCTCTTTAATAAGTTGCATAATATTTTTCTGTATTAGAGGATTGTAAGGTAGACATTGTAGGTCTCTTCTTTATTTAAATACACTGATTATGGTTTTCTCTTTTCTTTGAAGGAAATGCAGAGAGTGAACAGTTTGTGAACAGTATTAAATTAAAAAGCATAACTTCAAAGGCCTTTCTAACAATTTATTCTAAAACTATCAGCCAACAGATGATGTTCCAAGCAAAATAACTAATTATGTGGGAGGTTAGGCAAGCATTGATTTAGTTTTTGCTTTCTTGGACTGGTAGATAATTCTTTAATAGCAAGAAGAAGAATACATGACTTAAATCTCTGGAAGTGAGTCCACGTAGACCCTCTTCTGAGGACAAGTTTAAGCATAATCTGTAACAATTTTCTTGGAAAATGAGAAAGCCACTTGGTTATTTTCTGTGGACCTTGGTTGACTCTAAGACACTCCCCACTAGAGATAGAGAGCAAGGTTAAAGAAGGATAAAGGAGTGCCAGGATGAAAGTATTTTAGTTCTTTCAAACTTACATTGATATAGTATAGCATTGCTCTTACAGAATGTAAGGCTATTTTGAATAACAGGCACAGTTTTACAGTGATCATGTTACTAGGAAAAGCCAATGGAGCTTAGTGGGCCAAACATCATTGCTTTGTATCATCAGCACATGAGAAGGTAAGACTCTCAAACACATAACTTTAGCATTTAACACGTGGAGATAAAATCCTTTCTATGCACTAAAGCACCAAACTCTTTCTCATTTTGGCAAGAGAGTTAGAAAAAAAGGCATTCTCTGTGGTTACTTGTTTTTGGTTTCTTCAGTTCCGGTGTAACTTGTGATAATATTTCTGCTTAGCCTGTTTTGTGCATTTGCTCATGGCAAATGATTCTGCCAATTCTAAATTGCTCTGGCTAAACTGCAGTCTTGGCCCTAGCCTGTGCAATGGGAGAAAATTCCCTCAAATAGTGTTCTAAGAATTCTTAAGACGAAAACTTTTCCAGAGGTGTACTTGCTGTGACATAAATTCTGCTTGGGAAAATCATATGGACATTTGTTTTTTCTTCATCTGTTATCTAGCACTTCTCACTGAACAAAAATTAAAGAAATCCTCAGGCTCTCAGTGAAGCTGGTTGTTTTCAGAGCAGTAGACTTGAGTTTGTAGGGTTTTTATAACAGTCTTTGTGAAGTACATGTAATGACAGCACAAGTATGTTATGTTTGTAACGCTTATCTTGGATGGTATTGCTAACTTTTTGTACCTGGTTGTTCAGTCACCATATGCTGTGTTTTTATGTTCGTATTAGAGATGCAGTTTGTGGGTTTAATTTTGTTAGGCAGAATCTGTTTTAACACAACCTGTGTTTGTCTTTCCTAGGAATAACATGCTTGGAAGTACTTGGTAGTGTTGATCACCTGTACCCCAGCACGAAAGCTCCAGCTTAATCCTTTTCAAACGCTTCTCAGAACATGGGGGAAAACGATGTTGAAAAATACAGTCAAGCTGGCCAGATATTTGAAAACTTTGTACAAGCGTCAACATGCAAAGGTACCATTCAGGCCTTTAATATTCTCACTCGCCAACTTGAATTAGATCCTTTGGACAATAGGAACTTTTACACCAAACTGAAGTCAAGAGTGACCACGTGGAAGGCCAAAGCTTTGTGGAACAAGCTTGATAAAAGAGCAAGTCACAAAGAGTATAAACGTGGAAAATCTTGTATGAACACTAAGGTAAGTGGAGTTCAGTTTTGGATTTCATAGCTTAGTCTTTTAAACTTGTTTCTCTGCAGAAGCAAGGTTGCTACCATGGCATGCAATGTGTCCATTCATGTAACTCGCCCTTTAATATACTTTTTGAAACTATGGCTGATATCAAACACCTGAAAATTTGTCAAAATCAGTTATATTCTGCAAGTTTTGTGGAAACACATAGCATGTAAGAGTAATCTTAACAGCACCCTGCTTTACAATCTGTGTCAATCATGGCAAAACAGTTTTCTGCCCTGTTTAGACATCAGCATCAATCAGGCATCAGATGTAAATTCATGAGGCAGTAGGCTTCATTCATTCCAGGCTCACAAGAACTACTTTTTTTATTAAAACAGGGTTTTGCAAGGTACAAATGCTTTAAGAGACCAGGTCTGGCCAAATGTGTTTCAACAGCAGTTCCTAAACTGTTCTCTGGAAAGTGCTACTTGGAGGTCTGGGGATCTGTCTTTGTCCCCTAGAATTGGCTCTGGTTGCTAAACAACAGCAGAAGAAAATACTGCACTATTTATGGATTTAAATACTTTCCTGTAACTAGTGTTTTTTTGCAAGCAGAATGTGGATAATTGCTGTGTGGTAGTTACTGAAGGAAGTGGTCTGCTTGGTTGTAGAAAGGACAGGAAATTACCTTCTCTTCAGCAGAGCGCGCAATAGCATATTTTGATAGAACCACTGAACATAGGCTTAAATCTTGTTGACAAAACTGTATGAAATATTCTAGTTCATGTCACTTGTTTCATCTAGCTATCACAGAATATTTTTAATAACTTCATCTCAGAGCAATTCGCTTATTTACTGCCAAGTGACAGCTAAAAGTTGCCCCAAGAAGGGTAAGTTTTAAGAAGCTACTTGACTGTGTAGAGGTAGAACAGAGAGGAAGGGCACACTGGGGCATAACTACACACCAAACTGTGGAGGACTTTTTAATTAAAACTGTCACTGAAGGGTTATTTTATAGACTCAGTAGACAGGCGGTGTTGAAAGTCTCTTTCTTCTTGTTTGCATCATTGCATTGAAACTTCTCAAAAGCACCATGGAGAAGGACACTATGGTACCTTGTATTTAGTTTGCACTACCAAAACCTTGCTGCACATGTTGTGACCCCAAGAGAGATCCACACTGGAGCAGTCTGTTCCTGAAGGACTGCACCCTGTGGCAGGGATCCATGTGGGAGCAGTTAGTGAAGGATTGCAGCCCATGGGAAGGATCCGCATTGGAGAAGTTCATGGAGGACTGTCTCCCATGGGAGGGTCTTCCCCCTGAGGAGGAATGAGAAGCAGAAACTTGATGAACTGTCCACAACCTCTGTTCCCTGTCCCCCTGCACCGCTGCAGGGGAGGAGGTAGAGAAAATTGGGAGTGAAGCTGAGCCCAGGAAGAAGGGAGGGGTGGGGGGAAGTTGTTGTAAGATTTAGGTTTTTTATTTCTCATTATCCTACTCTGATTTGGTAATAAATTAAACTAACTTCCCCAAGTCAAGTCTGTTTTGCCCGTAATGATAATTGGTGAGTGATCTCTCCTTGTCCTTATTTTGACCCACAAGCCTGTAGTTGTATTTTCTTCACCATGTCCAGCTGAGGAGGGGGACTGTGGTGGGCACCTGGCATCCAGCCAGGGTTAACCCACCACATACCTTTAGTATGTAGATGCCTATATTTTTATTTATTAATTTTTAATAAAATTCCAATGATTATTAACTTTTTCTAAGGTAATAAATGTCCTTACTACAGGTTTTTTTAGAAAATGAAGAGTGCCATTGCAGCTATTTTAACTGTTTTCCTGATAGCCCCTGTTTCTCTCCTTTCCTTTTTCCCTTCGTTTCCCTTTTTGACCTGTGCTTCCTTCCTGCCTTTTGTTCTTTTGAAAAGGCCTTGAACAAATGTCATTGAGAAACTTTGTGATGAAAACAGACAGGAAAGGGAAGGAATGAGAAAGTGTCTGATGATTAACAAATTATAGGAGATATTCCACATGCACCTCACCTACTATACACATACAGCCCCAGGTCCAAATTTCCACGGTTAGTTTGAGGAATTATTTGCAACACAAAAAGGCAGTTTTAAGACCCATGTGAAAAATAAAAATGAAGTCCTGCTCTCTCACGTGTGACATTATAAAGTCAGGCCTTGCTCTGCAGAGTTCTTAAGCAAAGTGATTAATTTTTATGTATGGTGAGAAGACTCATGGAAATTGGTTGGTACATAAAATACAGCCTGTGCAATGCTTTACAAGGTTGCCAAGCAGGATGCTAATCAGCACCTTCCACAGCGTTGAAAGTATGGTATTACTGCTCTTTGAGAGTAAAGATTTCTTTAGTGGCATGGTGTAAGTATTTGCAGAAATTAATGGACATATCTGATGCACATATGATCAACTTGCAAACGAATATACAAAATCTGTATGTGAACAGTGTGTGTGTAGATATTCTGTGGAATACTTGTAGATGCTCATTACGAACCTGGACTATGCACAGACCTGCACTTCACTGTGTCATCACTGATTTAACGAGCGAAACATGAATCTTCAGATTGCTGCAAATGAAAGCAGTAACCACAGTCTGCGGGCTCTGTGGGGATATCTACCCAACATTCCTCACATGTGAATCACAGTCTGCTGTGAAAGCCTATCTATGCAACATGAATCAGAGGAGACACGTTGAGAGAAGTCTGTGGACTCCCTGATCGTTGTGGTGGTGTACTCTGACCGCCCCACTTAGAGATAAGGAATTCTCAGAAATGCTGGCAGTCCAACCAAAATGTCAGTGCAGAGAGATTAGGCTGCAATGTACATACCATGATTTTTCTTCAGTGCAACTCATGATTTTAAGTTTCTGTCTTTCTTGCATGTTATGCCAGCTACCATTTTTAGTAGTGAAGCAGGCAGACAGGAGTTAGCAGGCTAAATCCTGACAGCGCTTGCTTCTGTGGAATTGCCTGGGGACTGGTTGAAGTAGATCAGCCTGGAGTAAAATCTTACTTGTTAAAGCAGGATAACAAAACGAGCTAAGTGGATTTTTGCAATTGCAGTTCTGTAAACAGAGCCAAGGTTGCTAGTAGGCATAATTAAAAAAAAAAAAAAAAAAAAAAATGACTTGAAGGCTTCATATGAGGTTGTGGCCATAAGCTCTGTGGCTGAATCTGCAGTTCACAGCTCTTCTCAGATACGGCATTGTAATCGGTCTGGCTTCTTGCAATCTTCCCAATCTTTGGATGAGATAGAGGAGGCAACATACAAGTGGGATCTAAACTACTCATGGTCTGTCCTTCCTCCGCCTCTCCCCCACCCCCCCCCTCTTTTTTTTTTCACAAATTGAGAACCTGCTGCCTCACCTAAAACTTCATTTTTTGCACAATTTTCAAGAGCTGAATGCCATACTTGTTTTTTGTGCTTATAAACTCTTCAGCCACATTTAAGTTACTCATTACAATATACACAAGTTTTATACATACAGAACGTTCCACTCCAACTAAATAACAATAATCCTGTGTCTTAACTGCTCTTGAAGAACATTGCCAAATATGTGTTTCAAAGTTTCTACAATGATATGATTTTAAGCTGGATGAATAAAACCAGTTGAACAATTTTCAAGAAGTTCAAACCCACTGCTATTTCAGAGTTGCCTTACTGTGGACTATATTTTCCCTTTAATTCTTTGCAGAATAGCAAAAACAAAGTGCTGCAAAAAGTCATGCAAAAATTGGGTCAAACAAACATTTTTTTTTTTAAATGGTAGGAGTCCGTCTGTATGTATGCTAAATCTGTATCAAACATACATTTCCTTCCATCACAAATTTGTAGAATGGGAATGAGTACTGTTCAGAGTAGCTGCTTCTGGAGCTGGCATTTGCCCAGTTCACCATTATTAGAGAGAAACAGAAGTCTGTCCTAACTAGCCAAAACTCTAGAAATCATAATGTGATTTTTGCACATGTGTAGAAAGAGAGCACAACTTTATTAGCCTGGCAAAGCTTCTCTCTCCTTTTCATCTTTTACTAATAAGTGCAGAGTAGCATGCTTGGAGTCTGTAATGATTATTTGTTTCTTCATGGAATGAAATGTAGCTAGGCAGTTGAAGAAGATTAAAGGTTTAACATATGTTGTTCACCATGCTAGCAGTTTCAATGTCTCTCTACATTTTTGAACATGCAAAACATGATGATGAATAAGAATTTATTCAGCTAGTTGCAGAGTGTATTCAATAGCCTTTTTAAGACGTATGTGAGTGTTCTCTAAACATTTATTTGAACCTCTTTGTATGGAGTAGATTCTTTGTTGATTTACTGGCAGTTTACCTGTGTAAATGATAAATATGAGCATGTAAATGAGGCTCCCACTGATGTTTGAGGTATGTATGTATATGTATCAGAGGGCAGGACCAGGATCATACTTTGCACCTGAAATTCTGGCTCTCCCATGACTCTAGATTCATGCTTGAGGAGAGCAGAGATTGTTGCACATGAAAACATCCCAGGCTTACTGTGAAGGAAGGTGTTGATTCTCTTAGGCATTCACATGTGGTGCTGTCTTCCCCCTCAAACACGTATACTGTTTTTTCAAAACACATGCTTACACTTGGAAGGAAACTGTTTAAAGTGCTAATGTGTATTATTATCTGCCTTGGTAGACTCTAGCATTTCTCTCTGGATAAACCCAGTTTTGGATGATGGTGTTGCTCACTGAGGGGAGGGCAGTGGCAAATTCCTGTGCATGGCTTTGGTCTTCTGAGCACTGTCTCTATTGTAGACCCTGCTTTGGGCAGGGTCCCTGGGCAGAGGACTTGTACAGTCTGAGCAGAGGGTTTGAGGCCTTACTGGACAGCATTGGCATAAAGCAAGTAAATAAAATGGAGCTGAAAAGTTTAGACTGCTGCATATGTAAATACATATATATGTGTGTATATATATAATACAGGTTCCTGAAAAACAAAGTGTTCTTGAACTCTGTCCCTGTTGGCCTCTCTTGTTT